GAAAAGGAGGAGGAGGAGTAGGACGAGGAGGAGCAGAACGAGGACGAGGAATGAGTGTAAGTACATGGCCGTCAAGGTAGATCACTCTCACTTTCTGAACCCTGTCACAGACGGGTAGACAACACCCAACCGCCATGAACGTCCTGCCATTTATTTGAGTCTGGTTCGTCCTCGCTGACATGTCCCTCCCCTCTGACATCAGAATCGTCACTTTCAAAACTGATTCCCAGCCCTCTGTCCGCTCTCTCATTCACGGAGTCTACATCTGTCTCCTCCACTACAAAAGACGGCCCCAGATCCAAATACTGCCCATTTTCACCCACCTCGCCCTCTGTGCTGTCATTCTCGCCTCTAAGCTCCACCCCTGAATCCACTCTAGCCCCGCCCCCTTGTGCGTCTTCCGTCGAATCGCTCTCGCTCCGAGACTCCACCCCCGAGTCCTCGCTGTTCCTTCCGACATTGATTTCAGCATCCAACAGTTGCTCTCTCCTGTGAATTCGGTACTTCAGTATGGTCGCAGCCACCAGGAACAGCGTGCCTATGGCGCGAGTGACCAGCACAGAGCCGAAATATGTCCAGGCGACCTCCTTCTTGCTGTAGAGAGCACACGCTCCGCCCGTTGGCGGCCAAAGCACACAGGCTTTATCGTAAATGGCGCCAAAGATAATTGGACTCAAGATGGATGCTGATGAAGAGAGAAGTGTTCTGTAGCACAATATGATTAAGGTCTGGTGTTGGTCTGGTAATAAGGTACCGTAATAAGCTGCAGTAAGGTGTGCTAAATGACAGTGTATAATACCATGGTATGAACTGTAACATTCAGTAAGGTGTGTAAGGTGAACTGATGTAAAGTTAACTCATTGAGGACACACAGTTTGGTGATTCGACAACACTTGAAGACAGCCTGTTTTGCGACACTTTAATCAAGAATAAAACTATTTACTTTCAGGCAATTATCTCTACCTTTAAGAAAGAAAATAGTAGAATGCTACATCGTTCCCATATTCTTATACAGCGCTGATACCTGGACTTCTACAAAGAAGGAAGAAAACAAAATGGCTGCGTTTGACTACCGCACGATGGCCAGAATAAGCTGGAAAGCAAAAAAGACGAACAATGAGGTGGGTCAAATTCTTAACACAAGACAAGTCCTGCTTGCTCTTTCCCTTACTTTATTCTAGAAATTGTAGACCCCAACTAGAACCTAGTGAACATTTCTTTTCTGATGTAAGTCATTTTACACCCACATCGACATTATTTAGAGCTTATAAACGGCAGACTTCGACCATGCCTGTCAGGATCACCAGGGCTGAGAGGGACATAACCTCCCAGTAGAAAGACAGAGATACTTGTTAAAAATTCTCCCTACACGGAAGTCAAAGTCCGGTCTTCTTGTGCGACGACGAAGCACCTAACACCCAGTGCACACTGCCAATCGAATCCAGCTGGGGGGGGGGGGGGGGGGGCTCCTTTGGCCTAGAGGATAAGGTGTTCGCCTGTCATTCAAAGGTCCGGGGTTCGAATCCAGGTAGCGACCGAAAAATGTTCTCTAAAAGTGTCTCCTTTCACCTCTTTTCCTGCTCTCTAGCAATGTTCTGTCGTCTGCTTTCGTCTCCACTTTGTGTCCCCACCCCTTCACCTCCTTTGCCCCCTCCTCTGGACTCCTGACTCTTTATGCTACTCCTTGGCTCCGTCTTACTGCTGTCTTTCAGCCACACCCTGATCTCTGGTCGGAAAGATCTACACTTGAGCCTTCTCGGACAAGGGCTTCTCGGAGGTCCCGTGTGCAAGTTTAAGATCCCTTAGTGGTCTAAAATCGATAAGAGTAGGCTTCGGGCAAAATTCCAATATCTCCTTCCAACTGAAAATGTTTAATGTGTCCCGCACGCTCATATGACCTTATGCAGTTGCGAGCGCCGTAAAACACTTACCAAAAAAAAAAAAAAAGGAATCCAGCTGAACCGAGTCGGGTCTGGCCAGATTTTTTTTTCCAACAGGGTCAAAAGCTACCATGTAGGCGAAATTTGATTGAACGATCCAAAATCAGGTTTGGCTGGGGGTTTTTTAAGAATTAGATCAAATTGAGCCAAAATGACAGCTTCGACAGCTTCTGCAGCTCCACCATGAAGATAAATCCTGGCCGGCCCCGAAAGTATCAATTAAATCAAAAAAATTAAAAGTATCAAACGGGACAGTGTGCACTAGGTATAACCGCTACACCACACCATTCCTGTGAAGCAAACGCGCATTAAGATTGCGTATCTTGGTATGTATACAGACTGTTTTGGTTTGTGATGTTTTGGGGGGGGGGTTTCTTTCTTTTTTTCAGGTTTGCAAACGCGCATTAAGATTGCGTATCTGGGTATGTATACAGACTGTTTTTGGTTTGCGAAGTTTTTGGGGGTTTTTTCTTTCTTTTTTTCAGGTTTGAAAAGAGGGGGGGGGTAGTCTATTTTACATCTATTTCGGGAGCTAAATGGACCGAGGAGGTTCTTTTTTTTTTGGTCTTTTTCCATTCGGTCTTCTATTGAGCACAATCCCGGTTTGTAGCCTTTCTGACATGTCGAGGCACATATTGCGCACTCTACGATTTCAGCAAACCCCCTTCTCAAACATTTTTGCTTTTTTGTTGTTTTTGTTTTTTGTCATGACAGCTTCAGTTATGTCACTAGGACGTGAGCCAGCATGAATAAATGAATGAGAGTACAAACAGGGAATAGAAAGAATCGGTAAATAAATGAATGAATGAGTCAGCAGCTTACCTAGTGTTTGGATAAACCCGTTCAGAATGCCGTTCACCATAGAGCGATCTTTGTCTGCCACGCACCTGAAGAAAAGGATTACGTTATTTAATATCAATAATGCTATATTGTTTTCGATTTTAATTTTTTATAAGGGGTGGGTAGAGGAGAGGAACAGTGTTTTCCATAGAAGAATTGGTGTAGACGTGGGGTTGAAATCTACATAGAATCTAAAAAGATTGGAATTCAATTTCGAGGAAAAAAAAGGGTTTTTAAGTTGGGTTAGTTCAGAGATGTAGATCTTAATTCCGAACCCTACTGTTGTTGTTGTTGTTGTTGTTGTTGTTGTTGTTGTTGTTGTTGTTGTTGTCGTTGTTGTTGTTGTCGTTGTTGTTGTTGTTTGTTTGTTGTTGTTGTTGTTGAAATATACTGGCAATCAAAAAAGTATCACCTTATTTACTTGTTCGATTGGTTCGTCTTTCCTGTAGAAAAGTAGTAATTCTTTCGACCATAAAATTGAGTTATACAGCATTTCCCAGATAAATCACTGTGAAAGGATTATGTGTCGACAAAAACATCTCTTTTTTAACTGAAATTTGACGATATGGGTAAAATCCAAAAGTCACACATCAGTACTCCGTGTGATCTCCATGTGCATTCAGCACATTAGTCAATGTGTCTCTTGTCTAGAGTACACCAGCCTTCCTGCAAAATGTTGTTTCAGCCATTAGCTTGCGCAGCTGGGATCAGGATGCACGTCATGAGCAACACAGTTAATCCTTTCCCACATGTGCTCCATTTGGGTTGAAATCGGATTAAATGGCAGGCCGTAGATCCATTGCAGCGACGTTATTCTGGATTTTTAAGAATTCAATTCCAAATAAGTACTCTGTACGCAGGTGCTCAGTCCTGTTAGAATGTCAGGGGTTGACTGTTTTGTTTTTAAAAATGGCAGATAGTGCTCATAATGTGGTCCCGTCGTGGCGTTCAACTTGGAATGGAGAATCGCCCGAGAAGGTGACAGTGTCTCACTGCTCTCGGTCCATCGGCAGAATAGCTGTGACCAGTTCATCCTAGCCTGACACTGACAGTGTTTTGGCTGTAAATGCAGTCTGTATGTAGGCATCCTAGCTTCCATCTTGAATTCCCAGTCTGTGACGGACAGTACGCTTGCTGACGAGTGAAAGTCCAGGACAGGAAATTGTCTTGCGGTATGAACAGGTGTCCTGTAACGATTTCTCAGGTGCACTGTACAGATATATTGGTCTTGAAATGGCATTATTTCCCTTGGACGGCCAGTTTGGGGCCAGTTTTGAATAGGTCAAGTCCCAACGTACCGTTATTTCAGTTGACATTGAATTACTCGCAACAGTAGCGAGCTGGGCATGCCGATGGCTCGATTTATCTGGTCTTCAGTTAAAAGTACCGTCTCTGCTGGGAGACAATGGTCAAATGTTGATGCGGTTTTAAATACAAGGACCAAAATTCATAAAAATTAAAAAATTAAAAAAATCCGCCTCGGAAAAAAATCAGAATCTTCTGTTTTGTTACATTGGTATTGTTAACACTAATGGAAGCACCAAAATGTTATTTTTATAACATTGCCAACTTCTCAGAGTACTTTGTACTACCCACGTGAAAGAATAAGTACAAAGACTCAAAATACTAGATTTTATACACAATCAAAAAGTGGTACTTTCCTTCTGATCACAAGTATATAACAAACTGCTATCCTCAATGTAAAGAAATGTAAGAACATGCTACCCACAAGGAAAGCGATTCTGTGACTAAATATAATATAGTTCCTTTTTAAATCATGGGGTTCAGAAGAAATGTTCTGATAAAAAATAGAAAGGAAAAAAGGTTTTACTCCATTACAATTAAACCTCGAATCTCCGATAGCAGACCCAGTTTTGCAGCCCACTGCACAAAAAAGCTGATAAATCGGAGACTTAAGGACAGGGTAGATTCGACCTCGAAAACGTAAATTAGCCAAATGCTTTATCCTACTCAATGTTGAGGACTTGAAAAGTTAAAATTTCGTTACATATAGGTCTATATAATACGTCCATTATAAGCACACACACACACACACACACACACACACACACACACACACACACACACACACACACGCACACGCACACACAGAGAGAGAGGCAGACAGAGAGAGACACACACACACACACACACACACACACATACACACACACTCAAACGAACAATGTACAAACCAAATGCGTACCCAGATACGTTAACATACGAACAAATATCCACAGGGATAATAAAATCCCATCTTATCTTATTTTATAAAGTCCTATCTTATCTCATCTCATCTCATATCACCACATGTTATATTATCTCGTTTCATCTCATGTTATATTATCTTATCACTCACGTCTTACCTTACGACCATAAGTATCCTGGGCGTAAAGCCCATAGAGCCAATGAGGACCATCACATTGAGTATAACCACAAACGGGATAAAGAAGTCGCAGTTAGGGTCCGGGCACACACCAGGGAACACGGTGCCTGTTCCATTAGCGCCTACTCTGCCGCATTGGGTGAACGTCTGGGAGCAGAATGAGAAGACGAAAGGGTTAATGCTCGATTATTAGTCTCCGTAGGGTCAGGACCATCGCCTCCTGTATAGACTATAATATTATTGCTATAGGCGGTGGTCCGGAAACACAATGAAGAACATGAAGCCTGTTCCATTTGCAACTGTTCTGTCAGATTGGGTGAAAATCTTATTGAAGAATAAGAACACGAAAGGGTTAATGTTCGGTTGTTATTCGTAGTTCGGGTTCGGGAACACACAGGAGAATACGGTACATGTTTCACTCACGGAGCTTAAAGTTGTATTCCATAATGTTTACAGAAAAACGAGTGTTGAGGTCTTGTTTTCATGACCAAATGATAGAGCACCCCCAAAAAAACCTCCAAACTTTAAAAAAAAGCAGGTTCACTGTACTCATGAAAAAGGTACTTTCAGTCCTTTCAGGTGTGAAAAGCAACATAACATTGTGATAATATACAGTCGACTTTGTCCAAAACGGACACGAATTGTTGAGGAGAAAAGTGGTTGTCTTAGAAGGGTTGACGTCTAGGGCAGTGAAGGCAAACAAAACAAAGGAGTGGAAGTGGGAATTTATCGATGACTGTGTGAACAAGCTCGACTGTAATATCTTAATCTTGGCACTCCACAGAGGGAGGGTTGCAAAACAGATAAGGATAGGGGCAAGGATATATTTGTGTTGTGTCTTCAGAAACCGACTGAGGCAATTTGTCCATGGCCCATTTTTGTTCAACTAGAACAGGAGCAAACCCAGGAAGGATACAAATAAAATACACAAAGTAAACAGTTACTTAACAGGTAGGAATTCCTCTCTTCTCATCCATCAACAGTAAGGACGACTGAAACGGATGGAAAGCCATAAAAATTCTCAAAACAACCTGATCGCAATAAATCAAGAAGACGCTTTTCTCGATTCAAACCGAGGATCCACGTACCTAGACCCAGCATCCTACCAACAAAGCTCACAGTGGACCCTTTCAGGAGGCAGTCTCAACATATCTTAAGTGGACAAAGAATTATACACATCTCTGGCTATATAGTTATAGTAAGTTTTGTTTTGGTTTCTCGTTACACTTCAGACTTTAATATGAGGCTACAGAAAAAGCAACCGAGCGTTACGATTACAGGCGTATGACCCTGCACAGGGAACTCGGGACTTACACAGCAGGCGGCATGTTACCACCAGCCAAAAGGGTTGTGTCTGTGTTGTTGTTGTTGTTGTTGTTGTTGTTGTTGTTGTTGTTGTTGTTGTTGTTGTTGCTGTTGTTGTTGACAGACAGACCTACCAGGTTGTGTGGCGCTTCGCTGTCGCACGCAGGATACATGGATTCGTTTCAGGAGAGGGGAACAACTTTCTGTCGAGTATCAAAGTCTTCCTGCTGGGACGTTGTTTCCCTCCCAACCCGAGTTGGCTCTAACGGGCAGGGTTGTACGCCCTCCACGTAAATGATCTAAACTGTGTCGATGAGGGTGTAAAAAAACATATAATTTTTAAAAAATTAAAAAAAACTCACCAGACTCATCTGCCCCGTGCATCCAGCTTCACAAGGGGACACGTACGTGCGGCCATCGTCCCCACAGACAAACAATTGATTCGCACCGGCGCACGAACAGCCCAGGTCCTTCGTTGTGTTGCTACTGTGAAACATGGACACGAGAGTAAGATAAGGAATAATGAAATAATATTTATACAGAGGTAGAAAGATTGACATGTTTACACATTGTGCATGTACATATATATATATATATATATATATATATATATATATATATATATATATATATGCGTGTGTGTGTGTGTGTGTGTGTGTGTGTGTGTGCGCGCGCGCGTATGTGTGTGTGTGTGTTGTGTTTAAGTTGATGTGTGCGTGTGTGTGTGTCTGCGTGTGTGTGTTTGTACATATGTCAGTGTGGTTGTATGTGTGTTGTATGTGTGTATGTCTTTGTGTGTGTGTGTGTGTATGTGTGTTTAAGTGTGAATACGTGTGTGTTTGTGTGTGTTTGTTTGTCTGTGTATGTGTGTGCGTATATGTATGTCAGGTGTGTTTGTGGAAGTGTATGGAAGTGTGTTGAAAGGTAACTTTTGATACTTAACCTTTTCACTGCAGAAGCAAAATCGTTCTCGAAAACCACGAGATGCTCCCGTAAAACCGACCTGTCCAAAAATTGAGAGAGGACGTAAATTGTACCTGCAACGTACCACCCCCCCCCTCCCAACTCCACTTCCTAACCATCCCCAAAGATATCTGGATACCTGGAGGTGTCATCTCCGACTCAGAGGTTGACGTGAAATGATCCTCCATCCTTCACCGTCACGACCTGCCGTTGCACATTCTGCCATATCCAAGCCAGTCATGATTTATGTTGTCCATCCAAGTTACTTTTTATCTTCCCTTGCTCTCCTGCCCCATATCCTTCCTTCAAGCACCACTTTCACAATGATCTCGTGTCGTTTTAACTGGCCATAGTATTGCATTTTCCTATATTCTATTTAATTCAGGATGGTTTTTCTTGAGTGGAGAATCTGAAACGCGTCAATCTGGCCAATTCTACGACAGCACAACATTTCAAACGCAGCTGTTTTGTTTCCTTCTTTCTTTGTCAAAGTCCAGGTCTCGGCGTCGTACCGGAATACGGAGAAGATATAGCACCAGAGTAACTTTGCCTTAGATAAAGAGAGAAAGCTTGCAGCCTATGTTATTCTTCTGTACAGCAGTAAGCAGGTTTAAAAAAGGTAAACAAAACGTGTAAATGTAACAGATGTACAGCTTTTCCGTTTAAACCCATTGTGTGGCTTGCTTTCTTCTACCTCTTTTCTTCATATTTAATCGTCTTGCTTCTGTTCCGAGGCATGGGGAGATGCTGAGCGTCCCTATGGCAGCTACAACAAAAGAAGTACCACTAACAGCACTACCACCGTCATCATCAACAACAAAGGCTTCAGCAGCAGCAATAACAACAACAACAACAACTACTACTACTACTACTACTACTACTACTACTACTACTACTACTACTACTAC